GCATGCTTACTGAAGTGGTGAATGTGACAAAGGAAGGTGAAGTAGCTGAAGCTCCAAATGCCAGCTGTACTAGCCACTTGCAGACAGCAGAAAAGACTCACTGACTTGTCTTTTTCATGGAGAACCGGCTTTGTAGTGCTGCAGCACTCACTTTAAAAAAAAAACTCCTTATTTAAAAATCTTCAAATTCAGATGAGTGGAAAAACAAATACTTTGTGATCTACAATTAGGTATCTGGATAATTTACAGCAAGTGCATCTGACTCAGAAAAGTCATCTTTGGATTGAACTCCATTTCTGATTATCACATTGATATGTCCATATAGTTTCCTTACCAATAAAAGATATAAATGATTTATCACCATTTTAGGGATGTATTTCAGTTTCCTTGTTACAGCCCCAAGATTCCCTAGTGGTTGCCTACATAAGTACTAAAGTGACCTAACCCTACTTAGTGTCAAGCCAAGCAAGTTGTCCAGGTGCTGTATTGTTCACTCAGATGTTCCTGCCAAAACAGTTTGAAATTAGATGTAGAATTGTCTGGCACAAAAAACAAATTCCAGAATGAACAAATATTGTGAACCATTTAGTTTGCACCTGGCTCAAGTACCTTGTGTCTTTTGAACATAATGGGAATGGATAAAACATTCTATTCCTGCATGTTTGGCAATGCCTAAGTGGAAGTAGTGTCATATTTCAGACTGTATACAATATCCCATTGTGTATACAGATTACTTGGCAAAAAATCCCATTTCAGTTAAATCTGAGAATTGTTTAAGTTTAATCCAATCACAAGGATGGGTCTTGTTAAATTCCTCTTTATTAATAGCCCTTAATAGTTATGCAATGCTTTTGATTTTTAAAGTGTTTCACTGACTAAATCCTCTAAGTTTGTCCATATGAGGCTTATTGTGAAGCCATCTTCATGGTCTATCCGAGTAAGAGTTGGAAGGGACCCAATCCAACCCCTTGCTCAAGCAAGAGACCCTATTACATTGGACAAATAGCTGTCCAATCTCTTTTTGAAAACCTCCAATGATGGAGGATCCCAACTTCTGAAGGTAAGCTATTCCAATGATTTAGTATTCTCGCCAGGTAGTTCTAGGTTGCTTCTCTTCTTCGATTAGCTTCTATCCATTGCTGGTTGTCCTGCCTTCTCTTTGGAGAATAGGTTGATCCCCTCTTCTTCGTAGCAGCCCCTGAGATATTGGAACACTGCTATCATGTCACCCCTAGCTCTTTTTTTTCACTAGACTATAGACATATCCAATTCATGCAACCATTCTTCATGTTTTAGCCTCCAATCCTCTAATCATGTTTGTTGCTCTTCTCTGCACTCTTTCTAAAGTTCAACATCTTTTTTATATAGTGGCGACCAAAATTGAATGCCGTATTCAAAATGTGATCTTATCAAGGCATTATAAAGTGGTACTAACACTTCACATGATCTTGAGTCTATCTGTGTTAATGCAACCTAGGACTACGTTGGCTTTTGTACCTGGGTATTTGGTTTTCCTTGCCTAAATGTATAGCCTTTTTCACCACTGAATTTCATTTTGATAGGGTTCAAGTCTATCTTTAGTGTTCCAAGTTTGTCAAGATCCTTCTGACCCCATCTTCTGGAATGTTTGTTACTCCTGCCAGCTTGACCCACACTTGTTGAGTGGTCCTAGGCAGGCAGTAGTGTGTTTAATGAATCCTTAATCTTACCTAGAATGTGCTATTCTGCATGACAAATTGAAAACCATGTAGGTCTTTCTTCAAATAACTTTACAAGCTAAATATTACAAAGGAGCCAACGCTGTCCTAGGCTGCATTAATAGAGATAGAATCAATATCACATGAAGTGTTAATATCATTTTATAATAAGACCACACTTGGAATACTGCATCCAGTTTTGATTGCCCCAATGTAAAAAAGATGTTGAGACCCTAGAAAAAGCATTGCAGGAATAGGATATGTCTAATGAAAAGGATTAGAGGTGACATAATAGCAGTGTTCCAATATCTAAGGGGCTGCCACAAAGGGGATCAACCTATTTTCCAAAGCACCAGAAGGTAGGACAAGCAACAATGGATGGAAACTAATCAAGAAGAGAAGCAACCTAGAACTAAGAAATTTCCTAACAGTGGGAAGAATTAATCAGTGGAACAACTTGCCTCTAGAAGTTGTGGGTGCTCCAACTTTGGAAGTTTTTAAAAAGAGATTGGACAACCATTTGTCTGAAATGATACAGGGTTCACTGCCTGAACAAGGGGTTGGACTAGAAGACCTCCAAGGTCCCTTCCAACTCTGTTATTCCCTAAGGGTGACCTGAGATTTGTAGAAGTGAGAGTTCCCAGTTCAAAACCTTACTCATGCCTATACACACATACATGCAGATTACTGTATATAGTCATCTTTGTTCTAGCTTTATGTCCTGTAGTTCAGCAACATCACAATCCTATTCCTGCTAGTAATTAAAGAAAATGGGGTGGTAGGTATAGTAATATGCATGGGAAATACACAAGAGAGTAGCTGCCTCAAGAGAGTAGCTGCCTCAAGAACTTAGGACAAAAATGGTGAAGAAACTGATTTCAGTTCTTTAATGAACGATACCAATTCTCTCAATTGGTTGTCTAATTATTGTACTAGCCACAAATAAGTGACTACCATGAAATTTCAAAAGTGCAAGTCTGGTTGCCTCTCTATCAAGTGCCTTTTTGGGGATTGGTTTTAAGAGATTCTTATTTTACATGGATCTAATAAAAGCAACTGACCAAGAAAAAAGAAAAGATTTACAAAGAGAAAAATAACAGTCATAAGACGGCCACCATATTGCTGGTAAAGAGCTTTCAATCTGAATAATTCCAGTTGAGCTCCATTGTATCAAATTTATGACTGCCCATCTCACAAGAGGTGACCCTGGGTGGCACATAACAATTATGCTGTTTGGTGGCTATTTGTCCATTAGTTGTCCATTTTTAAGAAATATTTGGAAGAGCTCTTTGGAAGACCTTTATAGTGCCCACTGCCTTAAGAAAGTTCAAAACATTCTCAAAGATCCATCTCATCCTGGGAACCCTCCCCCCTTTTTTGAACTATCACCATCTGGCAGACAGTACAGAATAATAAAAACAAGGACAAATAGGCTGAAAAACAGCTTCTATCCTGGGGCAGTAGCTCTTTTGAATTCTGCTGTATGGTGCAGTGTTGGTGTGGTGTCGGGGTTTCCGATTCAATGTGTGAAGGGTGAAGGATGTTTGTTTATTTTCATGATCATGGTCATGGTCATAATGTGCACTGAAGATGGTGTTTGATTTCGTTGTACAACGTGCAATGACGATAAATATTTCCCCCCACTATGGCTTAAAATGCCGTTTCATTTTTCATAGGAAGTGTGCTCCCAATCTACACTCCCCAAAACCAGAGAAGATGCTGTCACCTTTATGAGTGATAAAGTTTGTAAAATGTTAACCCTTCAACACTTGAAATATGTTTTCGTCTGAAACAGAGATCTGCAAGGGCACCAATACCAAGAGAGGGTTTTGTTGTTCAATGCAATGAGGTGTGTGTTGCCCTGATACAATAGATTTCCCAGCTGTTGTAATCTCTGATTCGGCTCTCGGCTGCCAAATTGAACCCAACTCTTCAAAATGAAGTCTGGATGCCTCCTCCAAAAAGCAGGATACCAACCTATGTTTTCTTGACAAAACATTAAGAGCAGGGGTGTCCAACCTTGCTAAGACTTGGGGACTTCCTCATGGCTGGCTGGGGAATTCTGGGAATTGAGGTCCACAAACCTTAAAGTTGACAAATCCCCTGCCTAACAGGAGATAATGGCAAAATTAAGGTTCCCATTACCCTTTCAGATTAGAAATTATTGCCTGGTTCCCTTAAGAACATAGGAATTTCTCCTATATTTTCCTCTCTTAACTGAAAATCTTCTCCCATCACTTCCCAATATTTAAGCCAGCTGAGCTGTTGTCTCTCCTTAAGGGATTTCTACACTTGGTTTATTTTCATTGCTGAAATTCTCAAATTATTCTGAACTTCTCCATTTATCTCTATGTGGCTTTTTAAAAGGAACACAGTACTGACAAATAAAACATTGCTTTCTATTTCTCTGAGTGTATTTTTCTTTAAAATAATATAAAAATTTTGCCTCAAATGTATGAACAGTAAAAATCATTTCAATCTTTTGCTTATATAGGGTTTGGGTTTTTTTTAATGTGCAGTATCTTGAAGGTGTAATTTGCAGAGCACGTAACAATTCATGAAATTAACCAATCTTTCTGAAATATATTATGGGATTTCCCATCTTGCTTTTTTTTTTTTACTTCTTAAAGGTGCCAAGTTCAAAAAACACTGCTCTAAAATATTTGTAGTATCTCCTTTTTATGCTAAGTAGAAAATTAAACAATTCAATTAAGCAATTAAACCACTGTTCAGGATATAGGACTACATATATGAGCCATGGTGGCACAGTCGTTAACGTGGAGTACTACATGCTACTTCATGCTACTTTTGCAGTTCAAATCTCACCAGGCTCAAGGTTGACTCAGCCTTTCATCCTTCTGAGGTGAGTAAAACGAGGACCGATTGTTGAGGGCAATGCCCTAATATTCTGTAAACCGCTTAGAGAGGCCCATAAAGCACTGTAAAGCAGTGTATAAGTGCTACTGCTATTGCTACATATTGACTAATGTAGAATCCAGAGAAAGAAGGGAATTCTTCAAGCTAAGGATAAATCTATTCCTTGCTGTCCTTATTTGCTTTCATGACTTTCTTAGGATTTCTTAAAATTAACTATTTTGTTCATGAATTTTCCATAAGAGTAACAACTTATTCAGGAAGAACTAACCAAGGAGATTACAATAAACACAGACTGAAGCCTGAAAAAAGATCTTGATTATAAAGGGAATCAAGCACAAAAATCTTGCTCTTCAGTAATCAAAATATGATTTATGAGGAAAGTTGCTTTGTGAGGTAAGCAGCTGCTTTTAGTAAAAGATTGAGTTGTTTGCCATTGTTACTGATTAAATCCCAGACTCTCCTACTAACCAGTTATATCTGGAGAAGAGTCTAGGTTTATTTTGAAACTGGCACCATACAAATTATGTAATATGTAGGTAAATACACATAAGTATAGGTTAGTAGTATGTTATTTGATCAAGGTCAATGTTTATTATGCAAACTAGCAATCTCAAGAAAACTTTGTTGATGTCTGAAAAACAATAGTGTAGGTTTAATTTGTGACGGCTGATAAAATTTTCTAGGATTTGCAAAATTCATCAAGCACAGTTAACATCTGTAATATTCATTTTTCATATCTTTGATATTAGAACCTGCTGCCTTTAAAAAAAGAAAAACAATAATGTGCTACAAAATACACATTTAATGCCCAAATAATTTCTTTTAAGTACTAGGTACTTAAGTACTTTTTTTAAGAACTGGGAAGAAAAAAAAAGATAAAAGGACAGGTTTAGAACGCACATTTTATTAAGTAAAAAAAAAAACCCCAAGGTAAGGTGGATGCAATAGACTGGAGCTCTCCTGCTATGTGACAAGAGTCTTCTTTTTCCTGCTACCACCCTCAAATATAACCTACCGCATATGTGTTCTAGTCTAGTTTTAAGGTTGTCCAGTTAAACCATCCTTTTTGAAGACTGATTTTTTTTTTACATATTTAGAGTTTCTTTTCAGAAACCACGTTAATATATATTTATATATATTTATATATATAAATGTATATTTTATACACGATATACAGATTTGAAAACGAGACACTTTTAAAACACAGGACTGTAGCCGCAAACACTTGAGGCACTGCATTGCCGCACTTTGATGTTGTTCAACTGGCTGTCAGACACCCAAGATGAAGCTACTCTAGAGCACTTATGTACACGGGTGGGCTAAACACAATCTTTTCTCTAAAAGGTAAAAAAGGCCTTTGTGACTTAAAGTATGTGCAGTTTCGTAGCCCTGTGGAAGAGGGAAAGAAAAATCACCCACAAACTATACACAGTGTAAACATCACAAGGCATGGAATTCTCCTCCTACCCATGATTTGAGGCTCCCAAAAGACGTGCAGAATGTGCTAGCAGTCCTCATCTATTTCCCTGGATTTCTTGTGAATCGCACGATTAAGGTTATGGCAGGCGGGGACCCAATGATTGTCATGAAGGCCTAACTTGCATCCGGGGACGTTCTTTTGGGATCTGTGACAACACATCCAGTACCCGGGCCCATAAGGTAAAGCTTGGCAATAGGGCTTGGGATGCCACCGACATAACGAGACATCACCCTTGGTGTACTTCTTTTTGCACTGTTTGCAAGGGTCTTCTCTGTAGCGTGGATCACGAACCCAGCGTGAATCTGCTGGCCTGACATTGTAGTACTCAATGATAAATTTGAAATATCCACAAGTGCATTTGAGTGCCACCAGACTCTTGGTGGGTAATAAGCCAAATATCTTCACCATAATGTGGTGGGGCAGGAAGACCAGATATTGCTGGGGCTCCAATAGTTGCTGGATCTTAAACCTGGTTTCCAAAAAGTCATGAGACCTTTGCCTCTTTAGATGAGATGAGTCAAGGATCTGCAGTGCATTCTCTGAGGAAACATCAGGGCAGTCACCTAAAACATGGCTTCTCATACAAACTTGGTCAGCAGAGGAAGCTTCCTTTCCTTGGGTCCCTGCTGGACATTCCTCCGTAGGAGCCTCTACTGACTGCAGGCACTCTTGGGAGATTTCACATTTGGATAAAAGCAAGAAAAGTCTTCCTGGAAGAGAATCTTCACCAAAGCTCAAATCAGAAGATTGGGGGATTTTGCAACTCTGATCTAACTTGCTGGCAGATATGCTAATATTTAGGGATTCACTCACTCTCACATTTGCATTCAAACTAGGAACATCTAGGGATTCTTTTGGTGTACATTCAGTTGAAGATTTGTTATATAAGAAATGTGGAGTTATCTGAACAGCTTCTGAATACTTCAAGGGATGTGACTCAGTGGCGTTTTGAGAATCATACCAGTTGACAGATATGGTTCCTTGCACATGCTGAAGATCATGGTTGCCTTCAAGAGAATCATCAAAGGAAGACTGGCCAGAAGATGGACCTTCCCATAAACTATCTTCCACTGAACCATTGTGCTTTGATCCCCACCCCACCTTCTCACCATTACATTCTTCTTGGTGGAGGACCAGAGATGATACCTTGTCAGACTCGTTCTCTGGTAATATTCCACTTGCCAAGAGCACTCGCCCTACATTCCGCCGGAAGCTACTATTTCTAGACAAGCTCCCCACTTCACGTTCACTTTGGCGCCTCAGGCACTCCGATTCAAGCTTTGCAACCATCTCCAAGACACGTACTGGCTCAGCCTGCTGCTCCACACTGTGACTGCCACAGGGTGGCTTTTCAGACGGAACCTCGCAAGCCCTGAAGTCAGAAAAGAATCCAGGAGCAGAAGGGGCAACTTTAGGTTGCCCGGCAAACCTGGGCACAGCAGAGGCACTGGGACAGTTTCTGGTACAACTGGCCAGCAAAACACTTGCTCTTTGCTCCAGGAAAGCAACCATCTCGACAACTGATAATGGCCGACCAGGGAACCCCCCCTCACCACCATCATTCACATTATGTACAGAGCAGTGTTCAATGCCGCAGGCAAATGGCTCGGGCTGGTAGCACCTCGCATTGGCCTCTCTCATCCTTTCCAAGTGGATCTTGGCCTTTTTGATATCTAGTGACTTTTTCCGGCGTTTGGTTGCTCGTCCATCTATATCCCAGGTGCTTTTGTTCTTCATGGAAAATACTCGGGTGTCACTACATAGCTGGGCTGCAAAAAAGGCTATTTTCTCTTTTGTGTTCCCAGGCTTTACAACTGCCCATATATCCAGCAGTCCTTCTTCCTCTTCCCCCTGATGGATGGAGGCAGGCGGGGTAGCTCTCTTCTCTTTGACCCTGGGTGCTTCCACATGGCTTTGGTTGCTGTTCCTACTGCAGAGTGTATTGGTCGAGAGGTTCCCCAATGGTTTCCAAAGAGGCGGATTGGGTAAAAGGTTTGGCTTGGGATTCCTAGGTTTTTCATCTTTTGCCAATCTCTGTTCGCTCATGGGTGGGCTTCGTGGAGAGTCCAGGTTTATTTCAAAAGATCTCTCTTTCTTCTGTAACTTGAGATAGGGCTTTAAGTGCATTCCAGCTATTCTGAAGAGGAAAGGGGAAAGGGAGCGAGAAAGAAGAGATACACTTTTTAAAAATTGCTGATTTAAGGGTAAAGATGAATTTAAGGATTAAAACTGCTTTATGAAATTTGGAATCATTTACATTGTGGGTTGGGCTGCAAGTGCAAATCACTGTAGCAGGAATGGATAAACCATATGGAAAGGTCCTTACGTAGCCCAATTCTTTCTCTTTTTTCCTATTGTGTGTGATGGAAAGCTACAAGCATGAAAATTGGTAGCATCATTTTCTCAGATTACAAATACAATAGATCTGTTAAGATTTCAGCAGGATTAAGGTACCTGTTATACTTAAAAGAAATACAGAGACAGATAATGAGAAGAAACAGCAAATTTGTTTTTTTGAAGGGTTGGAGGTTTGGTTTTATTTAGAGTAGTGAATATTCAGCATGTCTATTTAATATCTTATTTTTTTAAAAAAGGAAATTATGCTGCCTCAGTGGGTGCATCTTTGGCAGCCACAGAGGCTGTGAACAGGTAGCCGTGCAGAGTAACTGAGGTCCAGAGCGAGTGAGCTGCTTATCAGGAACCATGTTACTTTGCACTCATGTATATGTAAGTATTCATCCCACCTTCCCGGATGTGGAGATCCCAGGCTGAAGAGGCAAGTGGGATGCTAGTACTGTTTATACAGCACCAGGACTCCAGAGGGAAGGTCCAAAGGAGTGAAAGGAGCTTTCCTGAAATCTCAACTGATTTTGTGGCAAAATCTACAATCTACAACTTATGGTGCTAATTCCAGTGGGTTGGCAATTCTGCAAGTTGGTCCATACAGCTTAAAGTTGCTAACCTCACCTTCTCCCAGAATTCCTCTGTGGTTTATATCAGTGTTCCTTAACAACTTTAAGATGTGCGGACCAACTCCCAGAATTCCCCAGCCAGCACGCTTTAAAGTTGCTAAGCTGAGAGGTGCTGGTTTATATGACAGTTCATTTGCTGCTGGATCCCTTTTTGGATATCCAGTATTTAAACAATTCAAATAATTTGATGGGTTCCTACGTCCCATTCAGAAGCAGCCTGATCTTTCCTTTTCTATTTCTGAAACAAACCGTGCATTGTAAATCAAACCCTGCCATTTTGCTAGGGATGCAACCTATAAACCTAGGCTTCCCTGGGGACATCCCCACGCTAGTTTTCTTAGCCAATGACTGCAACAAATAGGAAAGTGATTCCCAAAGCAGAAGCCGGAAGGCTCTGGAGCGTTTCACTTGGCCACAGAAGGCACACGGCAGGCATCCATACCGTTTGACTGGGTAGAAGGAGGAGGATGCAGAACTCAGCAGTTCCCGGTGGAGGCCAGCTCGGCAGGAACTCTTCATCATCACTCTCCCCACTCCCGCCCCCCCACCTCCACCAGCCGCAGGTTGTCACAGCCAATCCATCTCAGTCCACTGCCAGGGCTCTTGCATCAGTTTGTTTCGCCCCTTGCAATAGCCAACTGGGTCTTTGACACCTAAAAAAACCATAGGGAAGAAATAAAATTATGTGATCAGGCTTCCATTAGTAAAGCATTTACAACCCACCAGTATTTCAGCCAATATTCGGGGGGGGGGGGGGGGGGGGACGGACCTAATTCAGAAGGGACACAGATTTATTTGCAGAAGTAATAACACAAACGCTAAGCAATCAGATGGTTTCTTATGTGTGTTACAATTTGCAAACCATGGAGTGTGAATCCAGCCAACTATGGGGTGTATACTATAACTAAGGCTATGTGTGCATACAATCACCTGTTATTCATCTGCATCAGGACTTATGCAGCTTTCAAAAAACTTACTTCTTATGCCAGGTAATCACATTTTTCTTTTGGACTTTCTGATGACGGATTTGCAAGGGTCCAAAGTTTAAGTAACATGCACATACACAAATGCAGCCATACACCATAAAAACCTATACTGTAATATGCATAATAACAAAAGAAAGAATTGATCTCACAATATAATGGTCCTTTAAAATTAGTTCTATAGTTATTTGGGTAGAAATAAAAACAGGAAAACATCAAAATTGTAAATGTTCTCAGAATGCAATGCTGGCTTTTAACATTTTACCCAGCATATTGAATTTTGGAGTGAAACAACAATAAATCTTCAAGGTAGCTTCTTAGAGACATTTCATTACCAGACTACAAAGCATCATTATGGGGAATGGAGATTTCTGGTTGCTTACATAGGGTAGCTTATTCTACTAGCCCTGACTGGGATATTTTTCCATTGATTTGGTTTTGGGTGGGGTATTGTAAACACAGACTTAAGCTAACTTGTACTGATGCCTCTACACTTACACCTGGAAAGAAGCCTAGAAATTTATCTGAAGCAAACACAGAACTTGTGGCCAGAACACAAGGGTGGAAACCAAACCCCATGTTTGTTAAAAATACAGGCTAATGTAAACCTTAGCAAATCCAGCTCTTTACGAACAAACAGACATCAATATAATTGTACTATGGATCCCCATGAAACAGCATCAGTGTGTCACTTTATATGCTTTGGAGAAATGTCAATTCTGTCCCTTTATCTCAGGAATCCAAAGCAGCAGGACACTGGAACTCAGCAAGAAACATCTCTAGGACAGAAGACTAAAAGCTACCGTGAAGCTGCAAAACACCACCATCATAACTCTTACAGGAGTTATATATTTCCACTCCTGGTCAATAGATGCTGTGGACTAGTCAGTGCCTGCACGGCACTGGCCTAGGATATTTGAAGGACTACTTTATCCTCATCATTTCTATCCATTTCATTAGGTTGCACAGGGGGGGGCATGCTGTAGGTCCCATCTATGGGGGATTGTCATCTTGCAGGAAGGAGGCCTTTTCTGTAGCTGAGCTTGCTCACTGAAATACCATATCACCAAAGTCCAGTTGGTCCTGACTCTCTTCACCCTTCAGAAAACCTTGCAGACCTGGATATTTTCCCAGGCATGGGGGACAGGATGGTCCTTGACTTATGATAATTGAGTCCAAAATTTCCATTGCTGAGCGAAACAGTTGTTAAGTGAATTTTGCTTCATTTTACGATCTTCATTGCTACAATTGTTAAGTCAATCATTGCAGTTGCTAAGTTAGTGATACGGTTAAGTGAATCTGGCTTCCCCGTTACTTTGCTTATCAGGCAATCGTAAAAGGGGGTCACATGACCTCAGGACATTGCAACCGTTATAAATACAGGCCAGTTTCCAAGAGGCCAAATTTTGATCAGGTGATCTAAAGGATGCTGCAAGGGTTGTAAGTGTGATAGTCATAAGTCACTTTTCCAGTGCTGTTGTAACTTTGGTCACTAAGTGAATAGTTATACGTTGAGGACTACTTGTAATCTGTGCTATTGGTGAATGATGTGTTCAGGAGCCACTTTGTGTTGGTTGTTGTTTTCCTGTGACTTAGTGTGATATGCACACCAGATTAGTGAGTTAAGATTATTCTTTAGCTCTCACTAGGGAAAACCTGGTGGTCAGATGTCACAATCAGCATTTAACAGTAGATCAATCTGCTAAACCTCAGGGGCAGGGTGGCTGAATTTCAGTGGCATAACTTTTCAGCTAAAACAACAGGAAAGTAAGGGTGGGAATGGCCTGCCAACCAAAATTCATTAGCCGCTGTGATCTGGTCCAATGTTTATCATAGGTAGACCTGATGCAATCACAAAACTCTCAAAATGGTCGATGCAATCAGCTTTCCTGACTTAGTCTTGGTACCCACCCAACTTAGTATGTTGGGAGAATAACCTGTACCTTTTGAACTGTTGTAATAACCAACTTTTTGAAAGCAGAATTTTAAGCCATCTGAAAATGGGTTAATAAGAAAAATTTCAGCCAAGAATTATTTTCCCATCCAAGCTGGAAATGATCGGAAATGAATTTTCAGCACACAAATCACCACATCTCTAACTAGCAATCATTTCCAATTATAAACCAACTTTGAATAATTGACATAACAAAAAATAGATGAAATCCTTGCAAACTGACCTGAGTCCCCAAATCTTCACTTTTTGCTTATCTGCATGTCCATAACCATTTATGATCAGGTGATTCTTGGCTAAATGTGCCAAATTTCCTATCCCATTTTCTTATGTATCCACTCAACCTCATCTCAAAGCCCTCTTAGCTAAAGGCGAATCCCACTGATTTGAACAGAAGTTACTTCCAAGCACAGATGCTCAGGCTTGCAGGACTTTTTGCTGCATTTATCAAAATTCTCTGCTGTTTTGTTAGCATGGGATAAAAAAAATCAGGCTTAGTAATCAGAAAGCTGTTCCATTTCAAATAGCTCATCTGGCTGCCAGGGGGAGGGGGGGGTGTCCCAGAGGATCACAGTGAAACAATACGTAAGTATGCAAATGCCATTCAACTCTGCCAAAACCTCAAGTTTCTTCAGATTAAATCCACCCTGAGAACTTCAATTAGTAGACAAAATGTTTGCATTAAAAAAATAATAAAATGAGTGATATAATTAATTCCACAGCTGAATAGATGATTTATGACCCTGACAAAAGCTGTTGATACTGCTATGAGCCTGGAGGGCAAACCTTTATTGGAAACCCTGAACCAGTCTTCCCCAATGTGCTGTCCTCCTGATGTGTTGAATTGTAATTCTATCTGGCTGGAGATGACAGGGGAGTGTAACTTAACGCATGTTGAAAAACAGACATGATCTATTGCCCCTGAAAGGAAAAACAAAGGTAACATGGATGGGATGTGAGCTATTAAAGGCAAAGACGGGGAGGCCTCCTGCTGGCAAACCACTCCTTTTCCCGTGTGTAAAGCTGTCCAAAATCCTGAAAAATGGATGGAAATTGCTTGTTAACATTCAGCTACTTTTACCACTGAATGTTGGCAACACACACTGAGTGCTGGTAGAGTGCAAATGGGGTGTTGGGCTGAATCAAAGGCTTCGCACAAAAAGTGGACTTTGGAAGAAAAAAAAGAGGCTGAGAAACTGGCAGGTGTTCTAAGAAGCAGCTCCTGATAGAGGACAGCTATGTCACAATAGATTTTATTATTGTTGTTGTTGTTGTTGTTGTTGTTGTTTTGGATGTACACTGAGAGTTTCTGTATTGCAGATAAAGTACTCAATTCAATTCAGCATCTAAAAAGGTTAGAGACTCTGCTCTCCCAACAGCAGCAGCGTCCTGACCAGCACAGTCCCTGGGCTTCACTATTATACCAGAAGCTAACTGATAGTGCAGCAGCCCCCAATATGTATCCTAAGAACAATGCTGTGCAGAGACATAGAAAGCCCAAGGTGCTTTTTCAAAAGGCAACTGGACTGTCTTTGTTTTTCCTTGAAGATATTTCAGAATAATAATAACAACAACAGAATAATGAGTTGGAAGGGACCTTGTAGGTCATCTACTAGTCCAACCCTCCCTTGCCCAAGCAGCATTTCCTACACCATTTCTGACAGATGGCAGTCCAGTCTCTTCTTGAAAGCTTCCACTGATGTAGCTCCCACGACTTTCGAGGGCAAGTGTTCCATTGGTTGATTGTTCTCACTGTCAGGATTTTTTTCCTTATTTCCAGGTTGAATCTCTCCTTGATCAGTGTCCATCCATTATTCCTTGTCTGGCCTTCAGGTGCCTTGGAAAATAGGATGACTACCTTTCTGTGACAGCCATGACTGCTATCATGTCTCCCCTGGTCCTTCTCTTCGCTGGACTAACCATGCCCGGTTCCTGCAAACATTCTTCATTATGTTTTAGCCTCCAGTCCTCTAATCATCTTTGTTGCTCTTCTCTGCACTCTTTCTAGAGTCTCAACATCTTTTTTTATAGAGCGATGATCAAAACTGGATGCAGTATTCTAGGTGTGGTGTTACTTAGGCTTTATAGAGGGGTATTAGTACCTTACGTGATCTTGATTTCTTCAGTTCAGAACTGAAGAAACTCCTTAGCGAAACGTCTTCACAGAAAACAAAGAAAGTCCAGTTGCCTTTTGAAAAAGCACTTTGGAACAACACGATGACTGAGAATCTCCATAGATAGACATCGAAAGCATCCACTCCCTGTTCTTCAATAGATTCCTCAAAAGAAGCTGACCATGTCCTACAGCTCAGCAAATTCATCCAGGCAGTGATAGCACAAAAAGCATTGGACTATTTCAAGTGAGACCCAGTCCAATTGTGGTTGTCCACGTAACAGTGACATATCTGCATAAATTCAGAGAGACATTCCATTGAGGATGGGAGGTGACAAGGTGGCTATTTCTTTTTAAAGACCTATTCTGAGTACTTTCAACTGTGTATTCATGGTGGCCTCAATTCTTTCTTCTGTTTCACTGTGGTGCTTTATGTCACAATCAATAAGGCTTACACACATTTTCCAGTATTTTCTCCCTAAAAGTGTTCCAATGCAAGTAGATAAGTGATTTTCAAAGAGTAAAAAAACTTTGTGAAATGTTAAGCACCGAGACACAATTGTTTAAAACTGAACACAACAGAGATAGAAGAAAAATATTACACAG